GAAACAGATGACAACATCAATCTGTGATCCTGTATTTCCTGTTCTTCATGTTGGAATAGGCTGCAAGAAACGTCTCAGATCTAGTATCACCACAACTCACATTTTCATTAATTGTTAGGGTCTGGATATTGCGATCTCAAACTGGCCAATCTCCAGAGAAGGATGGTTTCCTTCAAATTCCTTACCAGCCCAGTGAGCCTTGTTAGCATATGCATGAAGCCATCACTTACGCTATGCAATGAAGTCAATCAACTTTGGTTCCCAATTAAATTTGGGTCTCTGGCCGGATAAATATGTTTATCACACAGCAAGTACAGACAACTTAATCAAACAAAATGAACAAACCAACCTTTTGCTAGCAAAGTTTTCCTGGATCCTAGGAATAACTCGCCAAAGCAGCTTTCAGAGGAAGGATACCCATCACCTCCCTAGCATAGCTTTCTGGCCCTTTGTTTTCCCTGTGAGGACAAACATCTCTTTTTCTACCCAAAGGTATTCCTCTGGAGAGCTGGGCTGCTCCAGGGAAGGAAATGTGAATTGACCAATCTACAGCCTTTGTTGACTCTATATAGGGGATTTCTGTGAAGCCTAAGCCTGGAGTGTGCATAAAAATGGGAACTAGGGTATAGAGCAGCTCATCCATTCAGATATATTTCCAAGAAGGGAGCAGAACATCAAGAGTTTTGTTTGGCTTTATTTAGCTGGAGGAAACATTCCAGAGCAACCACGTCTACTGCCCAGGTCATTTCCCTACTCCAAGAGTCAACCATGGCTTTGACAGAATAATCTGTGGAAGTGTCAGGGAAACCTCGCGTGTTCAGGACAGATAGTTGGATAGCGTGAAAAGTGGTACGCCAACAAAATCTCAATTCTATGACAGATGTCAACTTAATGGATCCACTCAAATTTGGTGAGATGCAGGAGAAAGTTGGGGAATGGACCACTTCCACACCATGTACCCACTCCCAGATCTCACCAGCTGCAGCACAGAAAACCCATGGGGGTAAGGCTGAGAGATATATAACCCCCATCATATCCCAGAGAGGTCCATGATACAAGCCAGGTTTATGTGCTTCTCCAAGAAGCAAATCCTAAATGCCTACTCTCTTCCCATTCACTTGCGGGGCAGCACTTTTCAATGCTGATGTGCATATGTGCGCATTCTATAGCACTACATTGTTTATATTTTTTTTAAAAAGACAAATTTTTGTTATAAACATCAGTTCAATGTAAACCAGTTTATGTGTAATCTCAAACATGTAAGTTCAGCTTGCAAGCCACTTATAGCTGTAAGAAAATACCTTCAGAAACTGAAGCATAACCACTAGCTCATAGGTTCCCAAATGTAGGTCTCTGAGTGATGTTGGACCTCAATGCACGTAAGACCCCCTGTTAGGAAATCCAGTGGTTACAGATTCTGTGAACTGTGCAGTTCTGGGGAGATACATCTGTGCCAAAACTGGTGCTGAATCAAAGTCCAGTTGCAAAGTTATAGTTATTTTTGTTTAGTCGTTTAGTCATGTCCGACTCTTCATGACCCCATGGACCAGAGCACGCCAGGCCTTCCTATCTTCCACTGCCTCCCAGAGTTGTGTCAAATTCATGCTGGTAGCTTCGATGACATTGTCCAACCATCTCATCCTCTGTCGTCCCCTTCTCCTCCTGCCTTCACACTTTCCTAACATCAAAGTCTTTTCCAGGGAGTTTTCTCTTCTTATGAGATGGCCAAAGTATTGGAGCCTCAGCTTCAGGATCTGTCCTTCCAGTGAGCACTCAGGGTTGATTTCCTTTAGAATTGATAGGTTTGTTCTCCTTGCAGTCCAGGGGACTCTCAAGAGTCTCCTCCAGCACCACAATTCAAAGGCATCAATTCTTCGGTGGTCAGCTTTCTTTATGGTCCAGCTCTCACTTCCATACGTCGCTACAGGAAAAACCATAGCTTTGACTGTACGGACTTTTGTTGGCAAGGTGTTGTCTCTGCTTTTTAAGATCCTGACAAGGTTTGTCATCGCTTTCCTCCCAAGAAGCAGGCGTCTTTTAATTTCGTGGCTGCCGTCTCCATCTGCAGTGATCACACACACACACACACACACACACACACACACACATACACACTCTCTGTGTATGGGTGTGTGTATACACACTATAATTATAAACAGATTCCAAGTGTAACACTCATTTATATATAGCCTGATATTGTGGATAATGCTTTCTTTTGCAATAGTGCTTCACTATGAAAATGCTGCAGAGGTGCCATTTCTGGAGAATTATCAAGACATTACAGAAGTTGTTAACATCAATTATGCAATCAATACATTCTGTGTATGGGTGTGTGTATACACACTATAATTATAAACAGATTCCAAGTGTAACACTCATTTATATATAGCCTGATATTGTGGATAATGCTTTCTTTTGCAATAGTGCTTCACTATGAAAATGCTGCAGAGGTGCCATTTCTGGAG